ACATTTATATTCATTACTATCAGAGCCCGCGGCTTCGCTCGCGCTAAAACTGCAAAAAAACTAAGAAGGTAGTTTCATAGAAACTTTCATCCAATATTTAACCCCCTTATAGGATGAATTTCGAAAAATGACGTAAAAGAAGGACAAACAAACAAACACACTTTCACATTTATAATTTTAGTATGGTCATAGCATATGAGATACGTAGAAATAATATCGGTAACCTTAATTAAGCTTAACGCTTTATTTTCATAAAAACATATAAATATTTTTCCATTTAAACCTTCATATAAAAGCAATTTAAAAACAATAAAAATATATGTATATGAAACACGTTTTCCAATTAACATTAAAAAATAAAATTTGTAAAAAATTGTGTTAAACTTAGTTTTAAACAGCCTAGTTATTTTATTTTAAAAATTAAAGCTAGTAATAAATTAAAAAAAAATGCAAAAGTTCATTTAACACATGGTCTTGAAAAACACTCAGTCAGTTTGTACATGCCTCGTACAAGTAGCTTTGAAGTTGTCTCAAACTACGACAGAGTGCCGTCTCATTCTCCGCAGATGTGAATTGTTTTGTTTTGTCACCACAGACGACGTCGCTTACCGACTTGAGCACTTTATATACCTAAGAGTATGTTTGTTTTTATACAAAATACTAGCATTGCCCGCGGCTCCGCCCGCGTTCAGATGACCAAAAACCAATTTCTTAGGTTTTACCTATTAGTATACTCTTACTATGCAGTTTGTATATTTTTTCTCAGAAATGAGATCAGCTATCCCCCCCCCCCCCCAACGTGCGTTCACCTTGTCGTGGTGGGGGGGCTCAGTAGTGCCCGGCAATCCAACCGGGCGCGAAGCTAAGAAACGCACAGGAAGGTTGCCCACTTCGGTGGGCGGTGGGAGGTGGCCCTCTTCGGGGGGCGGTGTACCATGCGGGTTGCTCCTTGTACTTCTCTGATAGCAGAGTGGACCTTGGAGCAACCCCATGGTTGTGGTGGTCTGCTTCGGTGGACCTGCCGTCGGGGCGTCGTAGTTGAATGCGTAAGCGATCCTGCGACGCCCCATTAAAAAAAAAAAGAAATAAGACGGGGGAAGGATGAGCAGCTATCACCATACCAAATTTTATCAAAATCCCTCTAGTGGTTTTTCTGTGATGCAGTAATAGATAGACAGACAGTCAGACAAATATCTAAAAACTATAGATTTAGCCTCTGTTTCGATAATTATGTGTATTTCGATAAGATTTTCGAAAAAATATTTAATGTACAGATTCGGCTTAGTTACAATTTTATTATATCTATAGACTAGCTAAATAACTTGACTTCAAAGTCCAAAAAAAGCTTCTTGATTCTTATTTTATCCCTAAGAGTTAAATTTTAAAAAGCTTCTTCTTTTAGGTTATTCTTATCAGTTAAAGACTCCATTATAATAATTTAAGGTCTTTAAGCCCAGCACTCGGCCAGAGTGCTGATGAATCAGTTAATAAGTATTTATGTATACAGAAATATATACCTATACTAGCAGAACCCGCGGCTTGGCTCGCGCTAAACTACAAAAAAACGCTAAAAAGTTCGGATTCATACAAACTTTCATCCCCTATTTTTCTCCCTTATAGAATGAATTGCGAAAAATGTTAAAACACGTATTTATTTAATTGTATTAAAGATCATCAATACTAAGTGTCAAGTAATTCTGACCATAAATATTTTTTTGGGTTGTCTTATAACGTGTTTTTCCATGGGAATGAGATAATCTCCCGCGGCAAAAAGTCTATATCACTCTCCAGCCCTCTAACTATCTCCACACAAAAAATCACGCGAATCCGTCACTCCGTTTCGACGTGAAAGAAGGACAAAGAACAAACAAACAAACACACTTTCACATTTATAATATTAGTATGGATTTTGAGTTTAGTTTCATTCAATTACGATTCTAGACAATTATGTTTATATTTAGTTATAACAATTTCATTTAATAGCAAGCGAGGTCTTTTTAATATCTTGTGTAATTATAGTAGAGTTAACTTACAAAACACAATATTATATTATTATGTAAATAATAACTAATGTTTAAGTAAATACTCATTTTTCTTATATATTATGTACAGGCTTTTTTTATAATATTGAAATATTTCCTTTAAGTAAATCTTGATAAGTTCAATATTTAAGATACTTTTCTTCCATATCCCATCGATATGTTCCATCCTGTACAGCAAAAAGTTTAGATGCTGATTTCCTTCAACTTATTAAATAATTCTTTTCTCTTTGGAAGCTTCTAGTATAAGTTGTATTTCCTAGAGAGCTAAGTAGCTGGCTACATTCCAACATACCATATTAATAGCTCCTACTTTTCTTACTTAAGAAGAACGCACTCTTATATATTATTTCAGTACCCTATCATAATGCCCCTTACTCACCTGTACCTCGCACAGTGTTAGAGTAAGTTAAATACCCATAGAATTCAAGTTATTATAATACAGTTTAATACAGTAATTCATATTATTGTAACAGTGTAATCTATACATATAATTAAATTTTAACTAAGTCGAATTTGTACATTGAATATTTTTTGGAAAACCTAATTGAAATAGACATTATTATCGATACAGAGTCCGATTCTATAGTTTTTAGAATTTTTGTCTGTCTGTTACCGCATCACGAGAAAACCGCTAGACATATTTCGATGAAATTTGGTATGATGATAGCTGTTTATTTTTTTTTATTTTTTTTTTTATGTCGGGAAATGCATTTACGCATACCACCTGATCCCCCAGGTGGTGATGTGGGGCTCACCGGCTAGAAGAGCCGGTACTACCCACTAAAACCCGACATTCCCCTCCCCTCCGCCTTAATGGGACGCCGCAGGATCGCTTGCGCATAACTACTACGGCGCCCCGGCGGCAGGTCTGCCTAAGCGCAAGGCAGACCACCAAACCAATGGGGCTGCTCCACAGTCAACTCTGCTACGCCAGAGAGGTACCCGGAGCAGCCCCATTAAACCCAACCACCGCCCACCGAAGTGGGCCACCTCCAATCGGCTGCAGAGGACAGGGAGAGCGGCAACGAAACACCGACACTCCTCTTCCCCTGCAGCCCCACCGCGTCCGCCATCAAACGGTGGCGGCCCCGTCTAGGCCGCGGAAGGTAGGGAGAACGGCGCACCGAAATACCGGCACTCCTCTCCCGCCGCGGCCTACTCCTCCGCCGGATGCGGGCCTGCGACCACAGTCCCGCAACCGGCACCCATCATCCGGTTGTGGGACCAAGCGGTCCCACCACCGGTGACCGCAACGTCTTCGGCTCGAGTCCTAGACGAGCGGCCCCACCCAAGCCATTTGGTCCGCGCCGGATTTCTCCGGTACCACCCGCCGCCCTAAGCGGGTGGCATTCCCCTATCCGCCACCTGGGGACGCGCCCGGTAGGAGTTGGCTTCTCCCCCGGGATAGCTGTTTATCCGGGTCAACATATAGGATACTTTTTACCGCGGGAAAATATCTCATTTCTGAGAAAAAAATACAAAAACTGCATTGTAAGAGTACACATACTAATATTTAAAACCGGAGAATTTGGTTTTTGACCATCTGGACGCAGGTGGAGCCGCGGGCAATGCTAGTTAAGTATAATTTAGTGTTAAATAAAAATATCTTTCCTTAAGAGGATTTTTAAATTATACCTCGTAACAGCACGAAGATTTTCTTTTGTAACACATTAAGTGTGACGCTTTGTGTGTACTTAATCTCATTTAAAGATGTTTGAAATTTAAGTATATTTTAGTGAAACACTAAAAGTTAAACTTTACAAAATATAATTACTTATTAGTTTATGAAAGTAAATTTTGTTTATTTCGATACCGATTTCAAAGAAGCGCTAGCTAAATTCTTTATATTTTTAACTTAATTTAGTGATCAATTTTAGGCATAGGATACATAGAGGATAGGATAGAAGAATAAAATATAAAAATGACAGAAAAAAAACTTTAACAATTTTTTGCAGTAGTTATATATGGAACCCTAAAATATATTCGTATGTAGGAACACAGTGGATTTTATTTTATCTAAGATCTTCTGTGAAGAAAAATCGTATCGAATTCGAAGATCCGACGGATGACTATCACCCGCATCACACGAATTACAATGAGATAAAAGACTAAGATAGTTAATTAAGGTTACGTGTTGAATAAAGGTCATAGCACGAGTGATCTGCAAATAACACGAGAAATTATTTAAAAAATGAGACGGTATTCTTGAAACTTTTCTTTTTAACCCCCGACGCAAAAAGAGGGGTGTATTAAGTTTGACATCGATGTTAGTCTGACTGTGTGTATGTGTCTGTCTGTGGCATCGTAGCTCTCAAACCGATGAACCGATTTCGATGCGGTTTTTTTTTCATTTGAAAGCCAGTTTCGTTGCCTGGCGGTGGTTCTTATTTTTATTTTTATCTTGCAACAAACAAAAAACACAACTTTGTGTACAAATGTCCATATAATATTATACTTTTATTTGCCTTTGCACGAGTGCGCTGATCTCAATTCAAATGGCAGTCAAGTTATCGCATATGGTTCGAGTTGAATTCAATTCATTACTCTTGATTACATAAAGAAAAAAAATTGTTTCTCCTTTCTTGATTTCTCTAAAAATAAAGGTATCAGTTAAAGCTAAAAATGTTATTAAGTTTTTATTATAAATTGATGTTAATACCTCCAGGTAAATTTCTAAGAAATTAATTAAAATTCTAATAAATCTATTGTTAACTGACACGCCGGCGTGTCCGCGCTCGTGGAGGGATTATTACTTAGCACTTACCTATTATGTTACATTGTTAGAAATAAGATATCATTTACATATTTGAAAATAAAAACAAAATAAAGTAATTAAACGTGTTTATTTATTTACACGAATCGTTATACACGGAAGTACCTCTTAACTAGTAATCAGTATTTAATCATTTATTTAAACTTTATATTCGGTAATAACATAATATATTGTTTTTGTTGCAGCTTATCGACGTCATGCGGACATCACTGTCAGTGTACGTGAGAGCTACACTGCGAGCGCATCTCTCGTAGCCGGATACACTTTAAATTTTACTCTCCAAAAAGAGACTATCGATTTATTAAATCGATTACTAAAGCAGTTTTAGTTTGTGTCGCGTTTAAACGCGTTATAATTCTTAAGGACTCGTGTAGTGGGTGGTGTAGTAGAGATGGCAACTACAGGCAGTGAGATGTGGCTCCAGTGGTTCGCGTGCTGCTACCAGCCGGCTGCGCAAGCGCAACGCACCCGACGACGAATAGATAGATCTATGATCGGTGCTCCTACCAATTTTCAACACACAGGACACATAGGTAAGTTTCGATAGAACTTTTAATTGTTATACCATAACTATTAAAAAATATTATATAATAAAAAATATTGTTTAGATTATAAAGTATGCTTCCATTAAGTTCCTTAAATTGCCCATAGCCAAATCCATGCTAAATAACTAGATATTATATGATAAGGAGATCATGTTGGCATTAGCATTATTCATTTATAAAATATTCGTAGTTAAACGTAGGTATTACGTTTAACAAACAAGTTGTCACATTTGTGATTTAAGAAAATATTATTTAAAGTTAAAAAATATTGTAAGGTAATTGGTGCAATTTTCTTTTTGTTAATTGTGGGTAGGCTGTCTGTAACAACTATACCTTCAAGACATGTAACACCTCAGTCTCTCCCGTGACCATGGATGCTGTAAAACATTCGAAACGTCGGGAACCAATAATCAAAATCCGCGAAATAATCCAAAAAGATAGTTTTATTTAAAAATTTCCTCAAATTATTTTATATAGCTGTTTTAAAATATGGTGCTAGTCAAAGTAACAAAATGTTGATATATGTTATACTCATTGTAACTTCTCTTTATACTGTATAATAAATGAAGAGGAGAATAAGAGTAGCCAATCCTTAGGGAAAGAATGAGGCAAAACAACCAGTAAAAAGCTCCCATATGGTTTAACATAATTCTAAATATTACAAGTGTATAAAATTATTACAAAATACTAAATACTTACGTACGTAGTACTTACATGTTATCAGATCACTATCAAGCACTTCAAAGTGATCAAATATAATCATCGCAATAGATGACTCGATAACTCGCTGACAATCGCTTATCAGCAACCTTCCAAATGACAACCATACATCAGAAACACGTATCATAATACATACATACGTAGTAAAACTCTAATATAATAGTTTACTGCAGTACACTAAGTTAAAATATAATATTCAATAATTATGAATTGGTCTGGTCCGCCAACCTGCACTTGGCCAGCGTGGTGGGTAATGACCTGATCCTCCGGCCCGTGCCCAGCAGTGGGACTTTAAAAAGACCTGTATACATACATGTATGTGTCTTAATATGATAGAAATGTTGTAAATTAATAAAACAAAAAACATAAGATAATCGATAATAAATCAAAATAAAGATATTTTACCTCTTATTTCGTAAATATGTAAATAGAGTATAATTTATAATTGTAAAAACTACAAATAACATGAATTTTTAATCTGATTCCATATATTAAATACTATAAGTTTATAGATACAAGACCTATTAGATACTTTACAGTCAGGTATTGTCAACATGGTGTGGGTTTGACCCCTGAAGATGGTCAAATACTGGTTTTTTGAAACAAAGAACGATCTTCATATAAACTTACAAGCATTTTACAGCATCATTGTACAATGTCTTTAATAGGATTGGAAAATGTGTGCAAAAAGGTAATAAGAGATGGCAGCAAGTCCTGTCCATGTAGAGACGATAAGAATGGCCTATAGAATAAACTTTTTTTTTATTTCCATATTGCTATTTAATAGGCTTTGAAGTTTACTTTTAAATGCTTTTCCTCGTAAGGCTTCTGTTTAGTCCGATTATATTCTGCTTAATAGGAAAAAATAAAACTAGCACCATTCGTATACCTTATACGTGCTAGTCCACTCATAATTTCGCTAAAAAATCGATATGGTGTTTTGAACTCTAACGTACCTATATTTTAATTGGAAGTTGGAAGATAGTAGTCTATATCAAAATAGAAGAATATTCTGTAGATGTATGAATTAGAATATTTTCTAAGCAAAGATAGTCTTTAAAAACTAATCCGTATTCTATTATAGAATAGCTAAAGCTAATAAGACACGCCCACTACACTACTGCAGAGACAGTTTGGTTAGTAATTAGAATTTGTATCATCTGTGGTCAAATTTCAACCAATTGTATCCGTCATACAACCACTAAGTTAAAAGTTCTTATATTCAAAAGATTAAGCACGGTGTTTTGTATATATTTACTTTATTTCACTTTCCATAATGGCAACACGCATTATGATTTTCACAAATCTATCGCACTATAACTTTCGAATGATAATTGCCATCCGCTCTATTTATTATATAAAATTGGCGAAAACTTAATAACTTAGTGGAAAAATAATTTCCTATATACCGCTATTCAGTTATAAGCTGTATGTAAATCGATAAGTGTTGGAACAGTTCCAACGAAAATGCTTTCCTGGCTCACTGGGAGAGGGCACTCATCATACAGACTAGGTCATTTTCTCACAATGCAGTCCTTATCCGGCTTGCATTAGCTAAGTGCTACGCAGCCTTTTTGGTTAACGCTAGCATTATGTTGTTTTTCCAACACTAGGTACTACTTTTTGTACATTAGTCTGGTTGATACAAATAACCTGTTATTGAGAGATAGTGTTGCTCTATGTTAGGATTTATCAGAAGGAATAATTTTAGGAATGTGTTAAGTATTTCTACATAAATATATAATAAACAATTTAAAAAATATGCACTTTTTTTATAATAGGAATTGGGGAGTTCAAATTTGTGAGAACCTAACTTTAGGAACTCCCCAACACGAATTCTTGCGATATTGGCGAAAATAGAGAAAAGTGAGTAGTCTCTATAATTTTACTGTTCTTTAAACGCCCTAGCTATAGATAGATGTCTTTTTTTTTATTAAGGTCTACCAGCAGTTTTACAATTATATACATTTACTAGCGGACCCGACAGACGTTGTCCTGTCTACACGTCTTTAATTTGAAAATTTCAAACTTTTTTTAATAATTTTTTTGATGAAAATTATTATTCAAATTGTGAATCTAAACCATTCCCAGATCCCCTTGAACACACACAAAAAAATTCATCAAAATCGGTACAGTCATTTGAGAGAAGTTCAGTGACATACACACTCACACAAGAATTATATATATAAAGATGGCTTACATACATATACAAGTTAAAAATAGGTTAGTAATCGTAAATCTATTTAAAGGTAAACACAACATGCTCAAAAAAACAATTAAATGTAACAGAGAAATAAACAATTAGTGTGTGAGATTAATAGTATTAGTAAAGACAGTTTTGATGTTTTTTCTAAAGACATTGAGTGAAGTGTTAAATACATCGATTGAAATACTGCACCTGTTGAAAATCTTTATAATCCTAGGTATAGCTGAATACGCCCCCAATACTGTTCTACGAGATGGCACACACAAAGGCTTGATCACACCACGAGGCAAACGAGGAGGCACGTAAAAAATAAATAACTTTAAATTAAAATTAAATCTTGTTAAATAAACCTTTTAAAGTATAAGATATATAAGCCTTTCACTCTCGCTTTGTCCAGAGCTGAACTACAACGCGTGTCTTTTAGTAACATTTTGCTCAAGAATATAGGAACGACTATACTGTACTTTGAGAAAGAAGAATTAACTAAAAAAAAATATTTTTTGCGTTTATTTAGTTTACTTATTAATTTTGCATGAACTTTTTGCGTAGCAATATAAAATCACTAACTTCTTATGGCAATACTTAATATTCTATCTATTTACATGTACAGACCAACATATTTAAATTCACATATGTATATACAAAAACAATAGTTTTGTACTTCTAAATGTTATATTGACGCAATATACAAACGTAAGCCTTATGTCATCGCATATAGAATTTAAATATCAATGATTACATATAATTACTTGGTTATATAAAATGAAAGGCATTAGTATTCTGGATAGACACGTGTGTTCCAAATTCGGGCTAAGAACAGCCGGTTGGACGTCTTCTGCCATATACGGTGAAGAATTGTCGGAGTGTTAGTGACTTCGAGTCATACAAGGTGTACATAATGAATAAACGATGCAGTCTTGAATTATACTGCGTAGCTACTGCAAATTGTATAAGATGAGAGCGGGCTCGACTCTCGCTGTGGACATTATAACAGAATTATGTCTTTTTTGCTAATGGAAAGCTTTATGATCTTTGGCTAACACATAGAAAGTAGGCGCTTTTTGCGTAGTGCCAATATTATAAATCAAATATGTTTGTTGATGCTTTCTTGGTATAACAATGGAACAATAAATCTAAAGACTTCAATGCAATTTGACTTTTATTAGCTTCACTACCATAGAAATTAATTTTCGATCATCGTTTATTGTGATGATTATTTTATTAGTTAGAGTAGATTAGAAACTTTCTAAGTATTTGGAAGTGCTAGGATAGTACAACATTTGATGTCTTCGAGCTGATATTGCCGAGCCAGGAGGTGAGAAGTTTGAGCTTATTTGATTTATTTTGGCGAGTAGGATACAAAACCCTTAACCAAAATCCTGTTATTTTTATTAGAGACTAGTAGAACCCGCGGCTTCGCTAGGGCTAACACTACAAAAAAACTGTAATAAAAAGGTAGTTCCATACAAATTTTCATCCTCTATTTTACCCCCTTATAGGATACATTTTTAAGTAGGTTGAATTAGGTAAACTCCCGCAGTAAAAAGTAGCCTATGTCACTCTTCAGCCCTCGAACTATCTCCACACAAAAGATCACGCCAATCCGTTACTCCGTTTCGACGTGAAAGAAGGACAAACAAACAAACAAACACACTTTCACATTTATAATATTAGTATGGATTAATATGGATATAGAAACAATTTATGATCCGGACAGTGACATATGCGATATTTTATCTAAATGCATCAAGTTTTGGATATTATTTCTTCGCACAAAAATTCCTAAGGTCACAAGCACCTATACAATATATTAATCATTATTAGTAACTGACCTCAGTAGACGGGTGTTATCTTTTAGCTGACATCACTTCCCTCATCAGTCTGCCGTCTGCTTAGTAAACACTTACTCAGTAACTTTGTTATCCTGTTACGTTATACTATTAAAATATTAATGTTAGTTATTTATGTATACTACAATTTATTTCTTTTGTTCTATTTATATCTACCTCAATATTTTGTACGAGCAGTACCCGCGGTTTCGCCCGCATTCAAACTTCCGATA